ACCCGGTTAAATTTCGACCTGAATTTTGTTTGCAGCACTCGCAGAACTGTATTTTAAGATTGAGTTCAATCAAATGTGAGTATAATAAGCCTCTGGATTTATTCATGGAGGAACCAAAATCACCAAATCCGAAGTGTCTAATTCCAATTTTATCTGAGAGAGCCAGACGCAATCATCAAAAGAGCCACAGCTGGCTCGCGAGCCATGGGTTGCCGACCACGGGGTTAGAGCGTTAAATTCTGATCAGAAAAGTCGCGAGTTAGAGCCTCGGGAGGAGGGAACATCATTGGGGACTGGATATGACTGGCTGACGACGGCTAATAAGCCAGATATGGAAATTTCAACCCCCATGGCTTTGTCAGCAATAATATCTGCAATGAAACAGGGGTCTGTCGGCGTTGACAGTGGAGGCATTGAGGATAAACGAGTACGCACATGACTTTGTCCCCGGGAGGGAGACCAAGGAGCACCAGGCTCTTGGTGACCGGTGGAATGTCATGGGTCTGCTGCGACCTTGAAGCAAAAATGAGCTTTCTTTCGGAGAGGACAGAAGTCTACAGACCGGATGCCGTCAGACCTCGTTTATCCACTGCTTAGACAATTTTTCTCGTTTCGGCCAGTTAACTTTTAAGTTAAAAAATCGGGGTCAAGGAATTTCGTCCGCTGTCGCATAGTTGGCGACCTCAACGTTGGCATTTGTTTGAAGGATATTTTAACGGGTTACATTTTTTACATCCGTTTCGCGTGATAGGGTGGCCAAAACTAAACATCGCTTCTATAAAGCAACTTCAAGTGCGAGGTTCTCACTATGAAAAACTGTATGGGCACCCAAGTGTTAAAATTCTCACAATTTCTATAAATAATAAAATTTTGGCTGCTGTAAGTAACCTCTCGACAACAAAGGCCGCCATTCGAACTTGGAGCATAAATGAGGACGGGAATATAGTCTAGGAAGCAAGTACTCGATAGATCAGCAAACTTTGTTGTCAGTTTTTAGCGATAACCTCCGGTGATACTCCAAAGCAAAAGTCCAGACCATCTCAGCGGCATAGCAATTTATTCCTCAGCATTTTAAAGTTTGTAATCAAGAGTACAATCACTGGTGGCTCACTCCGGACTGCAGAGAGTATGCCGGCGTTTGTGTTAGAGGCATCAATGATCTGCCGCTGGTGGTTTTAAGTGCGACAAAAGAATGTCCAGTAAACTTTCAAATGAAGAAATATTCAACGACGCCAATAAATCTACCGTGGCTTAGCACAAATGAGCAACCTTAAAAGAAACAAAAATAATAGATTCTGATATCAAAAGCTACTGGAAACCCAGTGGTCCTTGAAAATAATCCCGGGACTAGAAGTATTTCGAAGGTTCACTTTCGAAAGTGTTAGGGCTAAGAAAACTCTGGTAGCGCGGACCCTACGGATTGGTTCATAGTA